AATAATAATAATATTAATGATGATAATTATAACGATTATAATAACAATAATAATGACCATAACACTAAAAACAATAACAACATTAAGAATCACAATAATGACAACAGCAACGACAATACCAACTCAGACCCGAGCCGCCCCACGCACGAGGTCCCAGACGAAGCTTTTTCGAAGGGCTCTCCCAGGGCAGGCAGCGGCCTTTTCCCACGAGGGAGTCTATCTTCCCCGAGCGAAACAAAGTGCTATCGGTGTCGGACGAAACGCTCACTCACTGAACGAGGTGATAGGCGAAAACTGCAACAATAAACAGAGGCTAAAGTATAGACACGGATGTTGTCGGAGTCTCGGTTATTGATAGTTCTAGCGTTCGAGGGTGGAGGAGGTAAGAGGGAGAGAGAGAGAGGGATAGAAAGGAGGTAAGAGGGAGAGAGATATTGTTATCCCCGATGGAGGGATAAAAAGGAAGTAAGTGGGAGAGAGAGAAAGGGATGGAGGATAGAAAGGAGGTAAGAGGAAAGGGGAGAGAGAGAGAGGGATGGAGGGATAGTAAGGAGGTAAGAGGGAGAGAGAGAAGGGGGTGGAGATAGAAAGGAGGTAAGAGGAATAGAGAAAGTTATGGAGGGATAGAAAGGAGGTAAGAGGAATAGAGAAAGGATGGAGGATAGAAAGGAGGTAAGAGGAATAGAGAGGGGGGATGGAGGGATAGAAAGGAAGTAAGAGGGAGGGGGAGAGAGAGGGATGGAGGGATAGAAAGGAGGTAAGAGGAATAGAGAAAGGGATGGAGGGATAGAAAGGAAGTAAGAGGGCGAGAGAGAAAGGGATGGAGGGATAGAAAGGAAGTAAGAGGGGAAGGGAGAGAGAGAGAGAGGGATGGAGGGATAGAAAGGAGGAATGTGAGAGGAAGGTCGGGGTGGAAGGGGAAGGGAGAAGGAGGGGGAGAGTTGGTGGGAGAGAGAGGGAGGAACAGGAAGGAACGAGGGGAAGAGCGAGGGAGAGTGCAAGGGAAAGAGAGAGGGAGGAAAGGGGAAGGAAAAGACTAGAGGAACCAGGGAAAAAGACAGGAAGGACGAAGAGGAAGGGAAATGGAGGAAACAAAATGAAAAATAAGAGAGAGAAGAGACGAAAGGAAGAGAGTGGGAGAGGGAACAAGGAAGAGGAAGAGAGAAGGAGGAAGCAAGACGAAGAGAGAGGGGCAAGGGAAAAAAAGAGAAAAGCTGTAGGGAAAAAAAAAGTCGAGACAGAGAGAGGACACGAAAGAAGAGAAGGAGGAAGCAAGATGGAAAGAGAGAGGGAGAAACAAGACCCAGAGAGAGGTAGAAAGCAAGGGAAAGAGAAGGGGAAAGGGAGGAAGCAAGAGATTGAGAAAGAGGGAAGCTAGACCCAGAGGTAGAAAGTATGAGAAAGGGAGAGGGAGGAAGCAAGAGAAAGGGAGAAACAATACCCAGAGAGAGGTATAAAGCATGAGAAACAGAAAGGAAGAGGGAGGAAGCAGGAGAAAGAGAAAGGGAGAAACAAGACCCATAGAAAGGCAGAAAGAGGGAGGAAGCAAGAGGAAGGAAGCAAGAGAAAGAGAAAGGGAGAAACAAGACCCAAAAAGAGGTAGAAAGGAAGAGGGAGGAAGCAAGAGGAAGAGAGAGGGAGAGGAAGGAAGCAAGAGAAAGAGAAAGGGAGGAAGCAAGAGGAAGAGAAAGGGAGAGGAAGGAGGCAAGAGAAAGGGAGAGGAAGGAAGCAAGAGAAAGAGAAAGGGAGGAAGCAAGAGGAAGAGAAAGGGAGAGGAAGTAAGCAAGAGAAAGAGAAAGTGAGAAAGCAAGAGGAAGAGAAAGGGAGAAAGCAAGGGGAAGAGAAAGGGAGAAAGCAAGGGGAAGAGGAAGGAAGCAAGAGGACGGGAGAGCGTTTGTTTATTTTATCTCCACATATTCCCTCCCGTATCGGCGGCTGGCGAGGGTGCAGAAGCCTCGGTGTCACGCCATGATGGAAGGGGCGGCGAGCGGATGTGGAGGGGAGCTTTTATCATTTATTTTATCATCGGTTTTATACATTATTTGCTTATTTATTCGTTTGTTTATGTAAATGTTTGTTTGCTTAGGGTGATAGAACTGTCATAATGCCTTCACTGTTTTTGTTTTGTTTTTGCTTTTCTCTGCTGTAGAAGAAATTTATGGACGACTATAAAGAAAATACACCAGGTGAAGGCGGAGTTCTTTGATGGTGAAAGGTAGAGAAAGATAAAGAAAACGTAAACAAGAATTTTTATTTGCTTAAATATTTTCTCTCTTTTCAGGCATATTTTCAAGAAATGAATGGGTTTTTCGCCATTGCTGCTTTCGTCGAGCAATCAAGCAAGTGCAGAATTTACGCAGGCAAACACACTTGAATTCCACACGCACCCTTGAACAGGCACAAACACACACCCACACGTCCACGCAAGCACAAACACTCGAGGCGATTCAAGCACATGCACACATGCCATTATGATTCAATCACCTCACGTGAATGCCAGACTGTTGGCACCATAACACGGCCGAGAGGAAATGGCCCTGATAGCAAAATGGCGCCACAGATATAAACAACTTGCCGGCAATTCGAATAATTATTTCTGATGGCGTGTTGATCTTGGTGACTGAATGGTGTTTGAAATTACTGATAGCCGAATAAAAAAAAAAAACGGTGTCCATCAGTTTTCGAATATTTCTATAATTGATCTGAATCTTAATATATAGTTTCTTTAAATAAAAAAATAAAAAAAAAACGTAACCCCA